ATTGATGCAAGAATGGGACAGATCCCCAACGTTAGCCGATTGTAAGATTTTCTAAGAAATCCTAGCTGATTTGGAGAATGTTTGGCCGCGATCACGAGTATGGGATCATGGTCGAGGTAGGGTTTTTTTCTGCAGTCCAAACTCATGCGACCGTGGAGCCTTAAATGCAGCCTAATCCTGCTTCTCCTTGGTTCCTGCAGGGCCGAGCAGTCGGGAACCTATCCTTCTTTTTGGTTTTTTTGATTTTTTGGTTTTTTTGATTAATAAGAAACACCTGAAACTAATAAAAAAAAAGATCAATAGAAAAAAAAATCCTAAAGAAAAACAATACCTTAATGGGTTGCCTTCCATTAAGCGCTTTTGTTTTAAGTCGTTTAGCTCGAATTTGTGTAAGAAGATGCTCAGTCCGATGAAGACCTTTAACCTAAGACAAGTCTTAATCTCCTTGTTCTTCCTAGCACGTTCTTCGTCACTCCAAAGTTCTGCTTCAAACACCTCTGTTGCATGACGTTTTCCTGCTCTGCTGTTAAAAGGAACAACATTGAAGAAGATGTCCTTGTTGATATTAGCAAATGAAATCATCCGGTTTGGCCAGTCCATGATGGCTCTGGTAGTTGCTAAGACAGACGATCTAAGAATGATCGGATGTGATTCATCTTTGGTCTTGACAATGTAGAAATCGACAGGGACAATGCAGTCTCATATCCTCAAGGGAATGTCATAGGCTACTGTTTAGGTGTAGCACTGGATTCATCAGCTAAACTGATCCTTGTTCTAGTCCTGCGCAGATGCTTAATACCAAGCCACAAAGCAGTTGCTTTGGACATCATGTTGAGACAAGCTCTAGAACCACAAAGAACATGGTTAAATCTTTCACCTCTAATGGAACAAGAGATAAGAAATTGACCTCTGTCTTCGATTTTATGCAGTGTTCAAACAGACTTCCCTTTTTTAGCATGAATAAACAAGTCTTCTATCTCAGGAATAAATTCCTTGCTCTCACAGAAGTAGTGGCCGATCATGTAGTCTATGCAGATTCTGGTAAAGGTGATTCCTTCAGGTAAGCTTCGAATTACATCGTTGAACTCATCTAGCTTCTTCTTGCTGATCTTGTTGGTATAATAGCTGCATTCTTCAGATTTTTGGAGATGGATTGAGTAAATGGCAGCATCAGGCGAGGTTTTGGGAAATGATAGACGTTTAGCTCTCCCAAGATAGGTTCGAATATCCTCCTTGGTCTCTTTGCTATATCTAAAGAAAACATGCAAACAGCCAATCTTCCAAATATCATCGGAAACTTTATAAATGGAGATTGTCTTCACAAAGTTATTGAACTTGATAAGTCATTCCCTAGAGATTGGTGAGCTTTGTTACAATGAATTGTCTGGATTGCCCCCTTCAACGAACAAACGATAGTCTTCGTCTTCAAGGTACTGCTCTTCGTATTCATCTTCATAGGCCAAGGCTATATCGCATGGTAGTACCTCATTTTTGTCTTGAGATGTTTTAGAGCTAATGGAGTAAACTGCTTGCTTTACAGGAAGGGATTCTGGTCAATCCAGGAGGTCCATCAGTCGAGCAGTTACCTGTGTGAATCAAAGGGGACTGATGAGGGTGTGGCCGATGGTTGGCCGCGGCTGCAGGTGATATGACAAGAAAAAGACAAATCTAATGAAAACTGGAAGTAACCTAATGCAAAAATTTTAGTAAAAATCGGCTGGGAATGAAAAATAACCTAATGACTAAAAGCCTGAATAAAAATCGATGTAAGACAATAAAAACAAGACGTTGGGTTTTCAGGAAAATTATCTGCAGGATATGTACGATTCAAAATATTGCTAAAAAATAAATTTAAAAGATCCTAGCTAAAATTTTAGAACTTGAGTCACGAACGTATGATTATGTCACCCTCGTGATCATAACCAACTATCTCTCGCGACCTTGACCAGTAGGTTTCCACTCTGGTCCTGGAAGGGAAAAGATGCAAGCCTGCTTAAGACTCATCAATATTTACAGCTCAACCATAGGTAGGTTTCCACTCTTATGGCAGAACTGATCTTCTCAAACTAGATCTACCTCCGAATGAAAACTTTCGCAAGACTACGAACCTAAATCAGATTATAGTTCATGACGCTACTCACATGCATTAAAAATAAGTTTTGAAGAAAAAGTTATAGGATTCGGCTTTAATATCTAATGGAATCATCATCGAACATATATAGTCCCCATCGAAAATCCCTTAAACCTAACAATAGAACCACTCAGACATTATTAAAGAAAGCAAAAATATTGTATTGAAAAGTTGAATAGAAATCGATAGTGAAAAGAAACAAAAAAGGTTCAAGAGATAGATCTCTATCTCCCTAAACCTAAAACAACTAAAAGTACAAAAAACTTAAAAGGTATTCTTAAACCCAACTAAAGGTATTCTAAAAGGCATACGACTTAGGGTTCCTAAAACCTGTATTTATAGTGCTCAAGTCATTTCTAGACGTCACTTAGGGTTTCTCCAAATGAGAGAATCGATTTGGGCTTGGTGATGAGCTTCTAGGCCGAACAGATCACTCTTCACGGTCAGAGGGGACGTGACCGGTGTAAAATGGGTGATGGCCGTGGTCAGGAATGCTTGCCAGCTGATTGACAGGACATCTTGCTCTTTGCGTAAATTTTGATTGAACCGTTGGATTGTCTTGGTGTCAAGTGTGCTAGAAAGCTGATTGTTCCATCTTTAAGGTCTCCAAATTTGATCTGAATCGGACGGTAAGAAGGTCTTCATTTGAGGGTGAACTTCTGACAATTTTACTCTGAGCTGAAAATCTGGTCTTCTATCCATTTTGCTAAACTTTTTCCTAAGTTTCCTGAAAAGAGTCTTGAAACTGCAAATACAAAAAAACCATAATAAAAACACTTAAAAGAAATAAAAAGCATTGAAAAAAATATTGAAAAACGATCCATAAAAGCGGTCAAAATACAGTGTTATCATAGCCTAAGGAATTTGTGATCCACATAGATCATGAATCACTCAAGCATTTGAAAGGGCAACAGAAGCTCAACAAGAGGCATGCTCAGTGGGTTGAATTCATTGAAACATTTCCTTATGTTATCAAGTACAAACAAGGTAAGGAAAATGTTGTTGCTGATGCATTATCGCGAAGGTATGTCTTAATCTCTACTTTGGACACTAAGTTGCTGGGTTTTGAACAACTTAAAGAAATGTATAAGACAGATCCTGAGCTTGGAGAGATCTACAAGGCATGTGAGAAGTTTGCTTCTAGACATTACTTTTGACAAGAAGGTTTCTTTTCTATGAAAACCATTTGTGTGAGCCTAATTGCTCTCTTCGAGATTTGTTTGTCAGGAAAGCTCATGGAGGAGGCTTGATGGTATATTTTGGAGTTGCTAAGACACTCAAAGTGATGCAAAAACACTACTATTGGCCCCACATAAAGAGAGATGTGGACAGAATATGTGGCAGGAGTGTCACTTGTAAGTAATTTAAGTCAAAGGTCCAAGCCCATGGTTTGAATAATCCTTTACCGATTCCTTCTCATCCATGGACTGATATCTCAATGGATATTGTGCTTGGTTTGTGATAACACCAGCTTTTTACCATAAACTCGTTTTCAATGTTTTATAAGTGATTTTCATTTTTTTGAGTTTTAAAAGAGTTTTCAGGAAACTTGGACTTTTGGAGTGTATTTTTGAGCAAAAGTATATTTTTGGATAAATTCAGGACGTCAGAAATTTAGCAACCAATGAAGACCTTCTCACCGTCTGATCATCCCCAAATTTTGAAAAATTATAGAGGAGAAAAACCAGCTTTCCAATGCACTTAAAATCAATGCAATGCAATGGTTAGATCCCTAGATATTATCAATGCACTGAAGGCATATTAACACAGCCCGGGAAGGTGAAGCAACTCTCACCCGCGGCGAAGACACTCTACACTGCGGCTGAACCACTTTCACCCGTGGTGGACCTAATTCCGACCTTCAGAAGTCCAACCAAAGCCCAAGTCATTTCCGACACTCATTTTCAAACCTTATACGCCTAGAAGAGAAGAAACACTATAAATACATTATCTTTAGGTCTTTTGGAACCATGCCTTTTTCATGCTTTAGAGAGAGTACTTCATTTTAGTTCTAAGTTTTGCTTTTATGCTTTTGTAGAAGGCTTTTCTCGCCATACTTGTCTTCAATAAGAGAAGCTTTTCTTTATCTGCTATCTATTTTACTTTACTGCTTTTGCTTTTAAACCAATGATGATGTCAAGCTCAGCTATGTCAGAGTAAGTTACCTTGTTTGATAAAGGGGCCATCAAAAGGGACCCTATGATCGATGACATCTATGTTTTTAGGTTAAAAGATTTTGATTTTTACATGATTCTCCCATTCATCCTATTTTCATAGTTTTATGCTGGAGTAGGTAACCAGTATCCGATCTAAGGTTGAATCAGAGCCACAAGAGTGATGTATCAGATTGCCTGAACTGGATCTAATGGACGTAACCGTCGTAGGAGACGAAAGCTACCTACAGAGGGGACGTGAGCCGAGATGAATTTAATTAGTAATGCATGATCTCTCTCATAGCAAAAGACGAAAGCTACTTGTCGAGTTATAATGATTAGATGATTAGGGTGATGAGAATTGGCTAATTATAAGTGTCTATTCTAGTTCTAGAGTCATAGAAAGTCTTTATCTAGATCCCTTGTATCATAGATCATGAACCTTAAAGATAAAGCCTAGCGCCATTTTTCTATTGTTTTTAAACTGATTTCTTTTCAAGTTTTTATTTTCTGTTTGGTTTATTCGAATTAGTGACAACCAAAACTTCTGTAAGTAGTAGAAACTTTTGAAGTTCCGGAAGCTTGGCCTATTCTCCACCTTAAAAAAGAAACCCACTTAAGGCCCAAAATAAGCCTGGTCTAAGTTGAAATGATCGATGATAAACCATTTTATACGTTCTGTGGATAATTTTATTAATCGAACGTAAAAAGTATTCTTAGTCTCTGGACTCTGGAGGTTGAAGATGATGACAACAGTAGGATTTGCTCAATCGAATTCTTCTCTTTTTTCGTTCAGAAATAAAGCCATTGACAAGACAAAAGCTTCACGAGCCAAATGGGTCTCTTCTTCATCTCTTCCTGCGCCTCCATTCTCGTCCCCTTCCAGTGAGACATTTCATCGAACAGATTATGGGCAAGTGATACACAATGATGTTCTATGTGGTAACAATGAAGAAAGCAGGAAGAAAAAGAAAAGGGTCTTCTTCTTAGACGTTAGTCCACTTTGCTACGAAGGAAACAAACCCAGTTCGCAAGCTTTTGGTCACTGGCTCTCACTCTTCTTCTCTCAAGTCAGCCTCACCGATCCTGTCATAGCTGTAAAACACTCTCCTCTGCACAATTTTATTCCTTTTTACTCTTCTCCGGTCCATGGAAACGTCTGAAAGGTGTTTCCTTTTTACAGGTTCTCGATGGAGAAGAAGGTAACAAACGACGCCGAGAATTGCTTCCTTCATATAAAGCGCATAGGAGATCACCAGTTCCTGGGAGACACTCCAAAAGGCCACAACATTTTGTCGATGATGTTCTTAAAAAATGCAATGTACCAGTGGGTAAAACTATTATTCTGACCTCAATGTTATTTAATCAATTAACCACAGTTCTGAACATGATTGAGTTCTTGGATGATATAGACATATATTTAAGGCGATTAAGACAAGATCACAGTAGACTTAGCCATAGATGTGTGATGAATGGTCTCTGACTTGAATCTGGTTTATGTGCAAAGGTTGTTAGAATGGAAGGCCATGAAGCAGACGATGTGGTGGCTACGCTGATGGAACAAGCCGTGCAAAGAGGTTACCGCGCGGTTATTGCATCGCCTGACAAAGACTTTAAGCAGCTGATCTCAGAAAATGTTCAGATTGTTATTCCATTGGCAGATCTCAGAAGATGGTCTTTTTACACGTTGAAACACTACCATGCTCAGTATAAGTGTGATCCACAGTCTGATTTGAGCTTTCGTAAGTGACTAATACCGATTCATCTCTAGAAGAGTGTTTCTTATGCTAGTCTTTAACCAATTCGATCCATTTGTTTGGTCAGAAATCGATACAGGTGTGGTTTTTTAGCCAGAAAATTACTCTGCATATTGAGTTCTTGGTTATGCATACTGATCAGGACTATGAGTTTTGTGATAGGATGTATAATGGGGGATGAAGTCGATGGAGTTCCGGGTATTCAGCACGTGGTCCCTGCGTTCGGAAAGAAAACAGCGATGAAACTTGTCAGAAAACATGGTTCTCTAGAGAGTTTATTAAGCGCAGCAGCTGTAAGAACCGTTGGGAGACCATATGCACAAGAGGCACTTACGAAATACGCGGATTTCTTGAGAAGAAACTATCAAGTTCTTGCCTTGAAAAGGTTCCATTTTTCTCACCTTTAAACCACCCTTCATGTTGATTATTATGCATCTCTTTTAAGATATTCTTGCTGATAATGTAATCATTCTTCTATCATAGAGATGTGAGGGTACAGATTCAAGATGAATGGCTGGTGGAGAGAGATACAAGCAATGATTCAGAAGTTTTGTCAAGCTTTTTCTCAACCTTGCATGGATGATACTGAGCTGAGGAGCTCAATCGCACACCGAAGCCTCTTTCTCCTAAATATTCAAAGACAGAAGTCGATGGATAGACCTAAGTCCATGCTCAAGAACTGATGCTAGCTTTTGGAACCTTGAAACTAATTCGCAAATTCACGGTGTATTATTGTAGTTACAGATTTGGTTTGGTTATAAACTTACATATATAATAATCTATATCAAATATGTTGTCATTACATAAAGATTCAGGAGATATCAATTCTTTTTACTGAATTTGTTATCACCATTGACATAGTTGGTTCCATCAATGTGACCCTAAAAGGTAAGAAAAAAATAATCTAACTTTCTTATATTAGCAAACAGATTTTAAGAAAAAGGTAATCCACTTTTTTGCTTTTCCTGATAATTATTCTGGCGACATCAAATTACAGACACAAAGGTAGCTGCCTAAAGGCTAAAAAACTAGAACATAACTTATAATGGCAAAGGCCTTAGAGAATAGTATTTGAAACAGAGCCACCACCACCATTCCTTGGCGAGAAACCACACGCACTCGAAATAAGCATTTGAAATGAACTCTCTGAATCATCAAACATCGGTCGTGGGAACTCATGGAACCCTCCGAAATTACACGTATCGAAGCTCAACGGCGAGAAAGACTCCTCAAAACTTATCTTCTCTTCCATGAATCCAGGCTGCTCGGTTTCTTGATCAGCGTTAGTCGCAGAACCAAGATTGAAACCCACCATTCCCGTGTTGTTGTTCTCACCTTCAGAGCTCCCTCTCTGAGCAGATGGTTTCGTCTCTTCAAGAGGGATCGCAGGTGTGTGTCCCTGGAACAGAGCAATGTGACCAAACAGCTTGTCTTTCCTCGAGAACGTTGTGCCACAAGAACATAGCCACTTGTTTTTCCCGCAGTGCTTCTCGTGGGTTTTCAGATCCGCGATGACAGAGAATTTCTTGGTATGGCAACGGCTGCAAGTGAAGCTCTTGTCGCAGTGTGTGCGTTTATAATGGTTCTTGACGCACAGTATCGTCTTCAAAGCCTGGAACTTTTTGTGATCCTTGTTACGTTTGCAACCAGGGAATGGGCACGAGTACCTTTTGATCAGCATCGGTTCAGTCCCTGGCACAGCTTCTTTGTTCGGTTTAGCCAGAGCAGCAGGTGTTTTGTACTCATCTCCGTGCCCTCTCATGTGCATCCTCAGATTCGCGTCTCTCTTGAAACCCTTGCCACATATCGTGCAGAAGTGTGTATGCGGCGCGAGAATCTCCTCTTTCTCGAGCTGCAATATCTCATACGAGCCAGGAGGAAGGTTCTCTACACCTTCCTCTGCGTCGTCCTCGTCTTTCATCTCATGTTCTTCTACAACATGGCTATCTCTCTCATCAACAACAATCGGCTTAGGCAAATCGAAATCTTGTGTTGCGCCACGTTGGTGGTTACTGTTTTGGCTCTGTGAAGCAACGTTATTAGCCTCCCTTGGACAAGGGAACACGGCCGAACCGGTGTATGGACCCGGCGCCGTTGACGACATATTATGCTTAACAGATGGAAGAAGACTACCTGCGGTGGAAATCAGTTGTATGATTATGGAAGTAAGATCCGTCGTGATGAGTTGCTGCTGCTGCTGAGCCACGAGCCCGTTCCGACCAACGATCAGATGAACAAGATCCTGCAGCTCGTGAATCTTCTGTTCCATAAAGGATAAGTTGCTCAGCATCGTTCTTGGATCCCAAGCTTGAGCCTTGACACCTTGCAAGAAATCAACATTAGCTTGAGTACTGTTGTTGTTCTTGTTGTTGTTGTCGTTGTCTTGTCCTGAAGAAGGTTTCATCTGGTCGAAAGCTTGCAAATTTTTCTCGATACCCATCTCGTAATCCAAGATTTCAGCATCTTCCCACTTTTGCTGTGATGTGAAACCTGCGAAGGCTTGGTTTCCATCTTCCAACTTTGAAGAAGATGATAAGCTTCCCCAATTGTTCTGGCACATATCGTCTTCTGTTTCCATTTTTTTTTTCAAGATCTTGTATTCACCTATAAAACCATAAGGATCAAATCAATAAAGCTAATAACTTGGAAACTGAAAAAAAAAAGTTTTGAAATCAGAATCAGAATTAGGACCAGCTCAAAGTTCTTTAACACAGATGCACATGGATATGTCACAGAATCAAATTCGAGTGAAGCCTCATTTTACCTTAACAGAGAGTCAAAATCCAAATCTTCTCACACAACTCTTAAGATCTGTAAACGAATGATAGAGCTTGAGGTCAAAGAAAAAAAAAAGATTCTCACTTTCATTGAATCTGAAAAAAAAAACCAAATCACCACTTGCGGACAAAAAGACAGAAGAAAACCCCAAATCAAATAACGCTTTCTCAAGCAAAAACAAAGAGAAAATCAAACTACAGACGTCAAATTCACTGAGTAAAATTGAGAACAGGAAAGGAAAATTAACTGGAAGTGAAGCTTCAAATGGTTCTTCGAGACCTCCAATGGCCGCTTGAGAGGATAGAGAGAGAGGAAGGTAGAGAGAGAGAGAGGAAGGTAGAGAGAGAGAGAAGGAAGCAGAGCTCTGAAGCGGGGCTCATGTTTATTGAGCAAAAATCTTCTTTTTGGTGCTCTTCCACTTTCTGATTTACCCCGAGTAAAGTCAACGAGATGATTTCAGCCGTTGAAATATATCAAAAATCAGCATCCGTTAGATCTGACGGTGCTTAGTCGTTTTATCGCATCAAAAACAGTAACGCTACACTAGAGCCGTTGATTAATGGGAAAAAAAAAGGATGACGATACGATAGAGAAGGGGGTGGTGGGGTCCATAAGATAATAAGTCCTATGTAAATTGTTATATTTATTTCTCTTCTGTCTCTCTCTGTCCATGCGCTGCATTTGCATATTTGACTTGGCAACTCGAAATTGAAGATGAACATTAATTGACACAAAAAAATTTAGTCGTTTATTCATTGTTAAAATAATACTCCTTAATATAAGTAATGTATAAAAAAATTTTACAAAGATTAAAGATTCATTTAATTTTTTTAACTATTTTCATATTAAAATATTATTTATTATCTGTTAAAATATAATTCAATACAAAAACAATATGCATAATACAAATAAAAATAAAAAAAATTATTGAATTTTATGTTGAAAACTGAAAACATCACTAACACTTATTCAAAGACAAAAAAAATCTGTAAAACATCACTTATTTCAAAAAAAATAGTATATCAAAATTTTAACTTAAGAAAAATACTCAGAATAAATTATAATTTATACTCTTTCTCTGTTTCACAATAAATGTTATTTTAATATTATATTTTTTATTTTATAATCAATGTCATTTTAGATTTATAATACAAATTTTAACATAAAATACGTAATTTAATTTCAGCTATAATGAAGAATTCCAAAAGTTGTTATGTATTGTAAGAGTATAACTGAATTTTTACTTTATTATATTAATTTGTATGAAAAATATCAAAATGAAAGTTATTATAAAAAGGAAATATATATTATTCTTATGGTTAGGCTAATGATATAAATTTGTTTATAAGATACATAAAACAAATTGGATAAACATTGTTTATGGGATTTTTGGTTCTCTTAGGGACAAATTTTATATAAAACAAAGAACCACGTGAAATCTAGGAAAACACTATGGTTAGGTGTTTTCTGATGGCTCTCCGACGCATCATTTAAAAACCGGTTTAAAGAAAACCACAAAATGGCAAATTGGAGAGATTAGAAGGATTGAAAAACGAAAAAAAGGAAAGCGGGTTGAGAGCTCTTAAGAATGGGAGAGTTTGCTTGGGCCGAAGTTTAGTGAGCTTTTTAGATGGAAAAAGAAGAAATGTAAGAGTTTGTGCATGAAAATGCTCTACGATTTTTAGGAACCGCCGTAGAGTAGAGATAAAAGAATGGTTGGAATGATAACTGAAAAGTAAGAATGCTAAGCCTTGTAATACATGAGTATCCAGAGAGATAACATGAGCTTCAAGGTAGCGAGAGGGCTTTTTAGGTGGAAAAAAAGAATAAATGTAAGAGTTTGTGCATGGAAATGCTTTACGGTTTAGGAACCGCCGTGGAATGGAGATAAAAGAATGGTCGGAATGATGACCAAAAAGTAAGAATGCTAAGCCTTGTAGTACACAAGTATCTAGAGAGATAACATGAGCTTGAAGGTAGTGAGAGAATAACCCCTTTCTTGAGTATTAGTATCTATAGAGTATTAGTATATTTATAATCTGATGATCGAGTCAATTCTATGATTATAAGTTCATTCCATACCGGACCAGACCGGAATAAGGTTAGATACATTCTCATTATGAGAAGGGGTCATTACTGAATCAGACCTTGGGTTGTTGGTTTTGTAGATCGGTCTGGGATCTAACTTTATTGGATCTTAATCTTGTGCTTGCTTCATGCTTCTGACAGCCTAACCAACTTTTCTTGGCGTGTTTTTCCTTCTGTGAGACTGTTCCTTGGAGCATCCCTTTTACTCTCAATGTATGGGTTGAGTTCGGCGGTTCGGACGTGATATGGTCTTCGCTGAACCTCTGCTTTTCTCTTGCCTTCTGCGAGAGGTCACTATCACCTGACACATGTACGCATTGAGCATTAAATGCCAACCTCGTGGGTTTACAACTTCATATTTTGATTGTCGAATAGAGGGAAATTTGAACAGTGTTTCCTGCTTAATAGAGCATCCATATCTAGCCAGGATTCTTTGATACTAGGAATGGGCTGTCGTGGTTGTTTTGATACCTAGCCAGGATTCTTTTTTCGGGTACCTGTCCGGGTTACACTTTCTTACGTCCTGACCTTTCCAGATCATTGAGCCTAGGTCTAGGACATAGAGAAGGCAACCATTTTATCACTCAGTTCTTGACCTCCTTGTCCCTGACAACATGGCTTGCGCTATCAGGTACGAGGAACCCGAGAACATGTGGATTTTTATGCTGGATCTCTCAAATTTGAAAGATTTCAAGACCTGGTGCTATATGCTTAGATCTAGTCCAATACAAAATCTAATTTGGTCTGGGGGCCGTATCTGCAAAAAAAGTCAATGACGCCACGTACAAACACATGATTCATCCACATAGGAAGGATTGGACTTATCCCCAATAAACATAAAGGTTTTAATATTACATTTTTTTTTCCTTTTGGATGTGTTATCTTTAAATGGAGATGTTTGAGAAAATAGAGGAATATAGTTGTTGATGTGTTTTCCTCGAATTTATATAAAAAAACTACCATGCATGGAAAAAATTCAGGGTCCTTTAACAAATAGAAACAAATATTCTAATATACTTTCTAAAAAAATCTGATATTGCGATATTTAATAATAATACACAAAACAAATTGTGTATTATTATCTTTTAATTATAATTGTATTACTTATTACTATATTTTGTTACAAGTCAACAATTCTTGCCACAATAAGAGAGATTCTCAATTGCAAACTTTCATCACTGTATATTGGGTGTCTTCTCAGGCAGAAAAAAAACATGTGAACGCTTACATCCCTTATGGATTAAGGTCGTCGAGCACTTTGAGAAACCTTGGCAAAGTAGAATCTGTAGAGGTCCTACCACACTCACACTCAATCTAATTTTTAAGGCTTTCATTTTCGTTAATATTGGGGTTGCTATATATAAGAGAAGAACCCGTTACGCTTTGTAAACTAAACAACAATCTTCAGATGGGGATTGATTGTTATGTTTATGTGTCTTTGTCGATAATGTTTATGGTTGTTGATGAAAATAATATTGTATTTTTTTTTTCCAACAGAAAAAAAATTGTTACCAAGCCTCATTAACTCAACTGGTAAAGGGATATTAGGCAAAGTGTAACACTCGTATTCGGAAAAACATTACCAAGTCAAAAATTTGGTTAAGAAAGTTATGAGTTATGTAACAAAGAATGGGAAATATCAAAGAGGTTAACTGAAAAAAGTCATAAAATAGGTTTAGCTGGAGAAAAATTGGGTTTGTTTGAGTGATTCCGAGCTAAGTCCAACGAATCAAAAGCTACAATGCCATAAGTCGCATAAAAAAGAGCCCCAATGCCATCGATGAAATAATCAATTCAGTTTTGATTTATTTTAAATAGCAAAAAGGTGGTTGTTTACTACCCTATCCATGAATGTCTCCTTAATTACGAGAAAACCTGGGTATATGAAAACCCACCCAACTGAAATCGGATCCGACCCGCGTATCCCCTTGGATTTACCCGAATGAAACTTGAATTCTTTGTAAAAAAACCTCCATACAGTTAAGAATTTTGAAAAAAACCGATTGAGTGTTTTCCGGCGAAGAATCCGGCGAGTGCGTTCTTTTTATTTCCACTCCACAATCTACAAATTCCGTTGTAATCGATTTCTCCATCTTCTCTTCGTTTCGACTTCTCCATGGCTCGTGTGAAACAAAAAGGCGTCCAGTATGAGTCAAGTGAAAGCCGGGAAACGTTGCCTGAAACAGAATCGCATTCTCCAGCCGCAGCGAGAGAATCTGAAGTAAATCCTGAAACCGCGGAGAAAGAGAAAGGAAATGGAGAAGGAAACCCTATTCCTACCGAAGCCGATGTAAACCCTATTCCTACCGAAGCCGAAGCCGCGATAAAGTCAAGCGAAGATGTTTCTCAAGCCGCGATAAACCCTATTCCCACAGAAACAGAAATGGAGAAGGAAACCTCTCCGAATCCTATTGAGGAGACCGCAGCCCAAAAAATAACCACAGAAGATGAAACCGAAACGATTAACCCCATGGAAGAAGAAGAAGAGGCTGAGGGTGATGAAGCAGAGGATGGAAAGGAGGATGGTGAAGAAGAAGAGGAGGGAAAGGAGGGTGATGAAGAAGAGGAGGGCAAGGAGGAGGGTGATGAACAAGATTCGGGAAATGAAAAGGCTGATGAACAAGAGGAGGGAAGTGATGAGGCTGAAGAAGAAGAGCAGGAGGCCGAAGAACAAGAGGAGGAGGCCGAAGAACAAGAGGAGGAGGCTGACAAAAAAGAGGATGAGGCTGAAGAACTAGAGCAGGAGGCTGAAGAACAAGAACAGGAGGCTGAAGAGCAAGAGCAGGAGGCTGAAGAACAAGAACAGGAGGCTGAAGAGCAAGAGCAGGAGGATGAAGAAGTGGAACACGAACCCTCACCGGCGAAGGTATGCGTTTAATAGATAGAGTCTACTGAGTTAAATGGGACAACTTTGACCAATTTAAGGTGTAGTGGTATAACATTATGTAATTGGAGTATAAGTAGGACAAATAGGACAATTGTGGGGAATATGTTTGACTGGTTTTGGTACAATTTCGTACAAGGGGGACAACTGAGATAACTAGATTATTTGTACAATTGGAACAACTGGGAAAACATTGTATGCGGGTAAGAGATAGAGTCTACTGAGATAAATGGGACAACTTTGATTAATTTAAGGTTTATTGGGATAACATTATGTATTTGGAGTATAAGTCGGACAAATAGGACAATTGTGGGAAATATGATTAATTGGTTATGGTACAATTTCGTACAAGTGAGACAACTGAGTTAACTGGATTAGTTGTTTCGGACAAGTGGGACAACTGAGT